ACATTTAGTCGAAACTTGGTCGACAGACCTTCGGAGTGTCTTCCCCGGGGCGTGTCATCCCCCGGAAGACACTTGGTCGACATTTAGTCGAAACTTGGTCGTGCCTTACTATAGCCTTACCATCGTGAAAAAATCAAAAAAAATAAAAACTGTATATTGACATTTGGTCGAAACTTGGTCGACGGGTATATGTATGTATGTATGTATATAAAATGTTACTGATGAGAAACATGCAGAAAAGATAGAATTTTGAATTTTTTTTTTCCAAAACTTTTCATCAAAATTTTTCACCATCTGACCACTAAGAACATGAAATTAGGATTTTCCAAAAAAAATTAGAAAAAAAAATTTTACTAAGAAATTTTTTTAAATGCTGTAATTTGATCAGAAACATGCAGAAAAGATCAAATTTTGAAAAAAAAATTCAAAAATTTTCATCAAAATTTTTCACCATCTGACCACAAAGAACATGAAATTTGGATTTTCCAAAAAAATTCAGAAAACAAAATTTTACTAAGAATTTTTTTAAATTTCTGTAATTTAATGAAAAACATACAGAAAAGATAACATTTGGAATTATTTTTCCAAAAAATTTCATCAAAATTTTTCACCATCTGACATGAAAATTAGGATTTTCCAAACAAACTTAGAAAACTTTTTTTTTTACTAAGAAATGTTTCAAATTGCTGTAATTTGATGAAAAACATGCAGAATTTTACTAAGAAATTTTTTTAAATGCTGTAATTTGATCAGAAACATGCAGAAAAGATCAAATTTTGAAAAAAAAATTCAAAAATTTTCATCAAAATTTTTCACCATCTGACCACAAAATTAGGATTTTCCAAACAAACTTAGAAAACTTTTTTTTTTACTAAGAAATGTTTCAAATTGCTGTAATTTGATGAAAAACATGCAGAAAAGATATAATTTTGAATTTTTGTTTTCCAAAAAATTTCATCAAAATTTTTCACCATCTGACCACGAGGAACATGAAATTTAGATTTTCCAAAAAAAATTCAGAAAACAAAATTTTACTAAGAAATTTTTCAAATTGCTGTAATTTGATGAGTAACATGCAGAAAAGATCAAATTTGGAAAAAAAAATTCCATAATTTTCATCAAAATTTTTCACCATCTGACCACGAGGAACATGAAATTTAGATTTTCCAAAAAAAATTCAGAAAACAAAATTTTACTAAGAAATTTTTCAAATTGCTGTAATTTGATGAGAAATCTGCAGAAAAGATAAAATTTTGAATTTTTTTTTCCAAAAATTTTCATCAAAATTTTTCACCTATGACCAGAAGGTACGTGAAATTAGGATTTTCCAAACAAACTTAGAAAAAAAAATTTTTACTGAGAAATTTTTCAAATTGCTGTAATTTGATGAGAAATCTGCAGAAAAGATAAAATTTTGAATTTTTGTTTTCCAAAAATTTTCATCAATTTTTTTCACCATCTGACCACAAGGAACATGAAATTTGGATTTTCCAAAAAAATTTTTACTAAGAAATTTTTCAAATTGCTGTAATTTTTCAAAGCTTTTCATCAAATTTTTTCAACACTTCACCAAACTTTTTTTCCTCCAATTTTTTAAAAACGCTATAATTTGATGAGAAACATGGAGAAACGAAAAAGAAAAGAAATTTTTGCAGAAACAAAATTTTTACAGACCGTATTTTTATGGCATGCTTTAAATGCTGGTAAGCCGTCGTCCACGGCCACTCCCTGGTCATTTTATTCTGTGGTTAAAATAATCCTGAATTGCTGATTTAATGCGTGGTTCGAGCGAATAACTCTTCTTCTGCCATTTCCTCCACGTGGTCACGCCGCTCACCTGCAACGTACAGGCAAAGTAATCAATGCATCGCATGCGTGTTGAGTTACTTTTCGTTCTGTTTAAGTTGAGTGTAAGTATGGTTCTGGCATATTATTTCCTGATGGTATTAAGGAACCTTTACAATAAACAAACTGTAATCGTGACATCCCTAACATCAACCTTTGATCACAAAGTATCATGCTATGCCAATAGCAATTTCTGAAAAAAGTTTTCAAAATAAAAGTTTCCAAAAACAAAACAAATAATCCCCATCAACAACTGTGTGGTTCTGTGCTAATAATGCTAAACATTCAAAAAAATATGTATTTTTTGCTATGTCAACCTTTGATTACAAGTAAGATACTATACTAATACAGTACAAAAAGTCTTCAAAGTTAAGTCTCTCAAAAATGAAAAGCAACGCTTGTATTTGGCTTAAATTTGAAATACGTGAAATACTTCATAATCTAGTACAACATCCTAAATTAAACTAAAATGTCAGCATAGAAATACTTTATAGCATAAGACATATCCAAAATTATTAAAGATGTATCAAAACCAGTCCTTGTGATATTCTTAGCCTCCTGATCTAACTGAATATCATATCATATTTTATCCACCCTCAGTAATATTGTCACTTTGTAATTAGTAGCCATGCCAGATTTGGTACAAGTTCTTAAATACATTTCCAAATCTTACACTGTTTTGGTTGTAACTAATGCAGTTCCTCCCAGCTCTGTGGCAGGAAGTGGAATTCTATGCTCCCTAGTTGTGCTGTATTTGGGCAGCCATTGTTTATCCAGTACGGGTCCACCTTCTCTCTTCGACTCTGTGCTTGCTCCTAGGTGCAGGTGGACACAGGGTGTTGGAGCCTGTGTCTGACTGAGCCCATCTGACAGCAGCAGGTGGGCTTCAGTCTGTACCTCAGCTTTCTGAACTGGTTCTGGTCCAGGTTCTGCATCGTCTGGGTCAACAACAGGAACACAATTTATGGTTATGATGACATCAGATCATGTCAGGAGAAGAAAAAAATATCAGTGACTGTGAAATCCTAAGTAAAGTACATACAAATATAAAAATTTAAAAAATGATTTTAGTAACAGTAGAATAGGTTAGGTACATCTATATTCATTTAAATTATACTTTTTTTGAAGTATCAAAGTTTACATTTTTGCTAACTGCTACAACTACTACTAAAATAAATTACAAACATGTGGTCACATGTTCTTTTTCTTTCGGATTTGTCCCTTTTTTCAGGGAATCATTGATTTCCATATTGCCCTGTTCTCTCCATCTTCTACTCTGACTCCAACTATCTGCATGTCCTCCCTCACTGCATCCATATATCTCCTCTTTGTCTCAAACCATCTCAATCTGGCTCATATGTGGTCACATGTAACACTTAATTTTTTTTTTAAAGAATATTTAAAAAAAATGTATTTGTAGAGTAAACATTCTGTTTTAATTTCTATTGGGGATAAATGGACACATTTGTCCGCAGAACAATAGTTTAATAAATGGATTATGTCTTACAAGTTTTATATTAATGTATTAATAAAATACTGCTTTCATATGGTTTCATATGTTAATCATCTTGACTTATATTACATTTTATTTTTTACCATATGATAGGATTAAACACACACACAAAAAAGCTGAAAAATAACAACACAATCACTTTTAAATCAAATTTAGTGCAACTCCCTGTTTCTGTCAGTCCGTGTCCCTTTTTATGTTCAACTGATGTACAGTGTGAGACTAGTTTTAAACTGACAAACCAACGGATGCGTGTTGATACCAAAACAACTGGTGAGAGAGTGCAGTGCAGACCCTGGGGACGAGTGAGGGGAAGAGAACAGAAATGGTTGACTCTCTAAAATGTTGAACATCAATCTTCGTCACCTGCCTGCGCCTACACATCCTGCCACACAATTTGCCAAATGCATAAAAATAACTTCAAGACAAAAGTTGAAATGGTTCTGTTTTTCTTGCCTGGTGTGACGTTGTTTCTCTTTGACCTCTTGAATATGATGATCCACACGGTCAACACCAGGATGGAACCCACAGTGGACAGCAGTACAAATAGCCACAGGGGTGGGGTCAGCAGGGTCACGGGGTTGGCCGGTGAGGCTGGAGGCCTGTCCACAACAGTCTGTTGAAGTGGAACTGAGGGACGAATATATAGAAAAACACATCTTCAAAACTTGTTTTATGAGAGTTACTTGGTAGGAAAATAAGCAGAGAAAAGATTGTTTCAAACAGAAGAAGAATTTGTGCGACTTTGAGGACAGTGTTCTTTGGGTTCTAGAGCTCTCCCTTCCTTCTCTTTAGAAAGTTTTCCTCACAAATGATTTAACAACTCAATTCCTGATCTACATTATTTTAACGACAGATGGGTCTTAGATTTGAACCTAACCTTTTTTTACAGCAGGGTTCATCATCAGTGGGTCGGGGAACCTTTAAGGGTCCACAGTGGTGCCGATTAAGGGTCAAAACATTTTTGGTTAGATAGAGAAATGTTAACTTCCCACGTGTTTAAAATAAAATTTAAAAAAAATTAACAGATAATTGACAGATTATGTTGTTATGGCATTCATATCAATCAACGAGGCAGTTGTTGATTTGTTAATAATTTTCTGTTAATTTCTGAGGTAGTGTCATATAAATTTAGATGATAACATTTGGAAATATTGTTTTAAAATCCTTGGAACCTCATAAAAACACTAATGGAAAAAATATATAATTTTATAATTTTTTTTAAAACCACATTAAATGTAACTGTTTATATTGTGACATGAAAAAAACGGCTTCAAATTCACAGCGGGCCTGAAGCAGTTAATCCAGTCAATCGTCACATATATTTATCAAACACATTCAGCATGATTTTCATTTATGTTGACAATGTGGAAACAGTCAATACCATTTTACATTTACGCACATTTATGCATTTAGCATCATCTTAGCATCGTTTTTAGCATAACACCTGTGAAACATTGGTTAAAAAAGCAGTTGAGTGGCTTTAAACTCACCTTTCAGAGTTTCTGTCTTCACTACTTTCATCTTCATGGTGACACAGGCGGTGACCAGGTTGTCCCACTTCCGTCCAGCAGAACAGTTCTTCCTAACCATGGCTGTGATGAGGGGACAGATGAGGAGATCGCTGACCGTACAACCGGGCTTGTGACTAAAACGATGTCTTGAAGACATCGACTGTGTGTAAGTCACAGATGGATGTACGAATGCAGGGTACAGTCAGATGTTTCACTTCCTCATTTTGATAGGAAAAGCTGAACCACTATGTGTCTCTGGGGCAAAGTGGAGCTAACTCTCTGTTTCACAAACAAAAAAAAAATCTGGAGCCCCAAACTACGCAGTTTAGATCAAGTTCTGCAACAATGTTAATGTGTCACAGATGCAAATCAGGCAGCAGTGACTCAAAGAGTGAAAACCCAAGTGTTAGTCTCTAAAAATGGTTGCATTGTGAGTAACTTCAATCTGTAAATCATGAATTTGCATGTTTACACAGAGCTTTTTTTTTTTTTTTTACACTCATAACACTGCAGTAATCAGGTATTTTCTGAAAATTTTAAACAACAAACAAACACTTTTTAGGAGGTCAGTGTCAGTATATGGTGCCGTATTTTCTTTCTATTTCATCAAGAATCTTCATGGTGGAAATGTAATCATAATGTAGCCTAGCTTAGCATCGGAGGAGAAAAAAAGTGTGTGGGGAGGGATCAAAAACATTTTGTTCATAAAGTTTCAATTTGATGCATTATTCTAATATTTTTTTGGTGTTTTTGGAGGCGTACAGCTCCGAGAACGAGTGGAGCTCTATGCAACGTTAAGCTTCAAATAAAAAAAACAATGTAATTTTTTTTTTCGGCCGCACAGCTCCCAATAACAGAGGTTTAGATGGAGAGGAAAAGTTTGTGCTCAACAAAATTACTTTAATAAACAACAGTCCCAACATGAAGAAACGCACAGCAGAAATATAGACTTTAACAAAAAAACAACTTTGCAACATACAAAAATATAATGTATTCTATTCAAGCATTTACAAAAAAGACAAAAATTGAAAGGCAGATTTCCTCTATGGTTAATACTAATATCATTTATTAAAACCCTGAGAATCACATGTTGGGATAATTATTACAAACACGTTCTGAGCCACAGACCGTGTATGAGAAATGGACTTGGTCCAAACTAAGACCCTGGAAAAGGATGTATAAAAGTCTTCAAATATACTTTCCACTGCAACTTCTTGATTGTCAATTTATCTATGATTTTAAAAAGTCTGGTAAAAATAAAAACAAAGTGCATGAAAGTCGGCGACCAAATGAATTTTGAAGCCTGTTATGGTTGGACGAAAGTTTGATCTCAAACAGCAACGAATTCATTAAATGTGTAAAAAACAAGCTTTTAACTTGCTTTTCAAAAGGTATGAGATGGAATTCTGTGCTTTACCGCAAATACACACACACACACGCACACGCACCTCTTAGGGCTGGAAAAGAATGGGCTGCATTTTGATGAAGGTGAAGTTGTAGAACAGCGGCAGGCCCTGGTGGCTGATGTTGGTGAATTTATCCCAGAAGAACACTGGGAGTCCGCCCTGTGTGGTCGGACCGTTCACTGCTTCTGCTCGGAATTCTCCAGCCATTTGGAAATCAGTCACCTGGATGGACAAGAAGACAGGAGAGGAAATCTGAGCAGAGATAACGTGTGACCTCAGAGACAAGTCGGAAGATTTATTCAAATCTTCAAAAAAAAGAAATACTGTACTGCACGTAGTATTACTGCACCTTAGTATCATAGCACCCGTCTGGTGAAGGTCCCTCCGACCTCAGGTCCATACGGCAGCAGATGGATTTACAGGGGTCACCTTTAGAGTACGGATCCTTTTTGAAGTCTGATGTCCACAAAACGACAACATCCATGGGACAATATGAACAAAGTGTCCTCGAAAGTCGATATTAAACCTTTGACATCGTGATTATTTCTTTTTCTGTTCTTTTCTGCATTGTGCAAATGATCAAGAAACAAATTCTAAAAGAAACTGTTGAGGATCATCAATGTCTCTCACATAGAAATCAAATCCTAAAGAGTCGCCCACCGTTAAACCTCATGATGTACTTCAGAGAGTCCAGATCCCTGACGTTGGCCTGGTCACGCCGGAAGATCTTGGCTCTGGGACATAGGTCGTAGGAGAAGTCGTCTCCATAGGCCTTCCACATTTGTCCATAGCCACTCAGAGTGTAGATATTCTGGTGGAAAGGCACGTTGTAGGAGGGCCAGTAACCTGTGGTGAGAAGAGGGTCAAATGAAAAGAGTTCAACTACGATTAAAAAAAAACAAAAAAAACAATATCTTTTTAACCATCTTCTATTTCTTCTTTTGCTCCCACGGCCGATCATCTGCCTCCATTTCACCCTTTTCTATTCTACCAATATAAAAAACATTTATTGTAACCTCTGCGCAGAGCCTGTGTTTGGTCAGAGTGTTCCACCAGGCCTGGGATCTGCTCCACCACAGTCAGAGCACCGTCTTCAACACTGTGACCCAGCTGCACTTTACTTCTGTCCAAAATCATGTACTGGTTGTTGTAGGTCCCTAAAAGAGGAACGAGATTTTTAAACAAACCACCAACAAACTTCAGACGAACTGGACCACAAGGACGATGGAGGAAGTTGATTGTTTAGAAAAACAAAAAACAGACAAAAGACTAATCTGGACTGCAGGCTGGCCTGAACACCTCTCATTGGTTCCTGCTCCAGCAGTACACCACAGTGTACTTCACTCACCAGAGTTGAACATGGCGAAGATTTTCGCCCATTCTTCTCCAGAGTGCGCCAGACTGTGAGCCAGTCGGACTCTCTGCCACGCCAGGAGACTTTTTGTGGTGATTGCGCTAAAAAGAGAGGAGTTGAAGACATTGTTGGTTGTCTGGGTCATCATCAGACCACTGCCCAGGAGGTAGAAGTCATCCAGAGACACCAGGAAACCTGAGGGCACAAAGGGCAGCCGTGAACACACAGACTTACCAAAGCTGACTACATTTCCCATCCACATCATCCACGCTGAGCCGTGGCTGGAAAATGCCATAAATTCACTTATTTACGTATGATCCTGGAATTGTTCCCGTCGTACCAGGGTAGCTGCTGAAGGACAGTTTCCCAGTAGCCGTGTTGGGCTCAGACACATGGAAGTCCCAGTGTTTGTAGATCCGCATTGTGGCAGCAAAGGTGTACCAGCTGGAGTGGGCGAACAGGAGGTTCTCAAAGCCAGGCAGCATCTGAGGAAAACAACGAGCACGGTTTATGCTGTTTACAATTCAAACATGGCGTGGATCATGTGGAGGAAGTAAAAACAGTCAAAACAAAAAACATTTGATGAAATAGTGGCAACTGTATGTTGTAATTTTAGTAGTGGTAATTCTTCAGAAGTGTGTAATAGGAACCACATCCCGGTGCAGTAACGGACATGTTGGAAATTGAGTAAAACTTGCTTCAAAAATCCGTTAGGTTTCATGTTGACACAGGAAAGAAATCAACCGCATTTGATACGCTGTGTAATTAAGACACAAAAACAACTGCAAACTCAAAATTTTCATGTTGGACAAAAAGAGACACTCAAATTCATGACATCAATAATCATTTTCTGAGGTGCTTTAGGGTCGGAATTACTGAATTCTTCAAGTCCAATTTTGTGATTCAAATTTAAAGGACAGTTACAAAAGGTGCTGATAATGAAAGGAAACCATTTGTCCTTTAAAGCCCGAGAAGTCTTAATGGGTTGAAGACCTGGAATTAGTGGTTTGGACCAAACACAGCAGTGAAAGGACAGGGACACGACCCCACAGCCTGGTGAGAACATGTTTAGGCTCTAACCTTGATGAGTGCGGAACAGTGTCCCATTCCTGGCAGTTTAAAGTCTCGAAGTGGGGGGTGGGATTTGGGCACCAGAGCTGGGATCAGATCCAGTAGATCTCCCACTGCGTTGAGAAACTGGATGGCAAACATTAAGAGTGGCTGTGGGAAGGACAGCAGATGAACAGATGTTAGAAAATGTAGGTGAGCAGAAAATCTGCCCCAGGTTAGGGCAACAGGGTCGCTACAGTTAAAGGAGACAGTAGAGTTTAAAAACTATAAAAACACAATTACACACCTGGTAATTGATAAAGAAATAAACAAACCTACGTTAAAAATGAAAAAAAAAAACTGACAGTGTGACACATACAGCAAACATCTCTAAAACCATTCAAGTGGTGAGTGTGATTCACCTTGTCAGTGTGGTTCCTCATTTTAAAATAGAACTTGACAGATGAGTGTTTACAGATGTGGTGAACATCATGAAACTCAAAAATCATTTCTACTTCTCTTTATGTCAGCAATTTGAAAAGCCAAGTTCAAAATAACAGGAATATTTGGTTTTCAGGCAGCACGTAAAGGTTGCAGTTTTGAATTTGAACTAGACGATTGGCCGACTGCAAAAGTAAATACACTCATAAGCAACAGCTGTTAATCATGTCCCGGACTCGTGCCTTCTTTCCTTGCTTCTTGGCCCAGTCCCGCACTCCAGCTTGTAGACCGTCCATCTGGGCCATAATGAAGCCCACATGTTTCCACAGAGGATCAGAACTCTTCTTCAACTTCACCTGCTCCCTGACCCACGAATCCTGATCCCTAGGAGCAGAAACTTTACATGAAACATTTTTTGTTTTTGTTTTATGTATGTATCTAGTCATTTCACCTCAGTGTGCTTTATATTATATTTGTCATTATATTTGTTTCATGGTGTTTAGAAATGTATCAGCATTAGAATTCCAAACTGGTACAGGTTTTTTTATGCTGTATGTGAAAAACCTTTTTTTTTTTTCCAAAATGTCTCGTTATTTTCTGCCCTTCTGGCAACGTCTTTATTATCTGCCCTGACACAGGTTTTTGTCTAAACTGCAGTTAAAAACCCTACCCTTTGCCCTGTCTTCTGATTAATTTAGATTAAAAAAATCAACACATCCTTTATAAATTTGTGTAAAACTAAACACAAAGTTTTTATTAAAGAGAATCGAAAAATGATTTGTCAGAAGGATTTACTTTAAAACAATTTAAACTAAAACTTGAAAACATAAAGCTCTAAAAAAATGTTTTTTAAATAAACTTAATTTGCTTTGTCGACAGGAAAGAAGACTCACTTCATGAAAGCTTGAACAGGGCCGAGGACTTTGGGGTCTCTGATCAGCTCTGGGTACATGTTGGTGTAGTGGTCCATCATCTGCCTGGAGACAACAAGTATTTACAGTACCAGTATGAAAAACTGTCATCAGACTTACGACACGCTCATGGTTCTCACTGGGCAGTGAGGTAGCCTTCCAGGTAGCCAGCCAGAAAGAAGGTGACCTCATCGGTCTCAGGGGTTTTTCCATAACCGGCACGGATTTCCAGGACACTCCAGCCCGTGGCGGACAGGCTGTTATTCAGGTAGCCATATGCGTCTCCCTGCTTCTCCAGAACTCCTTCTTTGAGCACAACCGTCTTCTGCTCGGCGTCCCAGTACACGGTGGCCGACGTCACCTCTGAGACAAAATCACCATAATAAAGACACAGATCTAGACTCACGTACTCTGCTGCAAAACAGACATTTGAGTCTGAAACTGGAGTGAGCTTTTTTTTAAAAATATTTTGAGCAGGAGTGGCAGCTGAGAGTAACTGCTGTAAGGTCATGAGACAAGTACTGCACAATGAACCCGTCTGTCCGTCTGTTCTATTGTTCCTGGGAATTAAGAAAATGAAAGTCGCACGACGACAGAGAAAGTATTTTATCTATCCTCCGTTTAAGAAAAAGCGAAAATACTAAAATGAAGTTGTTAATTTATCAATGTCAGAGAAAAAAAGTGAAAATGTAACAATAGATATAATGTCATAATATTATAAGTAAGAAGTTGCAATACTAGAAAATTAATGTATTAGAGCCACATTAAGAAGGAAAAGGGGTGAAAATGAATTCATTATATGAACAAAACAAAAGTCTTGAATTATTATCGTCCTCAAGTATTAAATCACAAAGATAAGGAAATCACAAGTTTGAGGATAAAGTGGTAATACTGCGAGAAAAAAGGTGTAGGTTTATGAAATTAAAGCTGTAACATTAGGACGAAAAATTGCAACATTTGGTTAAGAAACTGTTGTTTGTTTTTTGAACGTTTTCCTCCTGTGCATAACTGTTTATGTTTCCATTGTGCCATCATTACTTATAACACCAATCATAAAGCACAACATTAAATTACAGCTCTTCCACTGTTTCTTTCACAAACATCTCTCGTACATTTTCAATAAAATTGTGATTTCACGACTTCCTTTTTTTCGTTTCAGATTGTTCCCCGGTATTCCCCCGATAGTTATCACATATACACATACAGTACACTCAGATATAATCAAATGATATGTGAAAACAGTTTAAAAAAGATAGCTAGCAAACACACGTGATTTCACTCAAACTCGACCTACTTACTTTGAGCAGAGCCGACGGTCACAAACGCGTTCAGTAAAAGAAATCCACACAGTCTCTGTGCCGACAGCATGGCTGGATTAAAGGGGTTTTGTTTTGTTTTGTTTTTTTAATAAACGAAAACGTTTGAACAAGTTCAGGTCAGAGACACGGAGATTTGAAGTTTCCCTGTTGTAGCCATGAAGTTACTAGCTTAGGGAAGAAGCAGCAACTGGAGAGTCAACAGAGCAGAGAGCTTCCTGATTGGCTAAAAACCGCAGGAACGGTCACATGTTAACAGGTAACATGTGACCGTAAAGAGGGAGTGAGAGTGTGTGTATAGGCTGCTCTTAATTTAAAAAGGGAAATGGATGGAAGGTCAACTTACGAAAAAACTTCACCCCAGATGGGACTCGAACCCACAATCCCTGGCTTAGGAGGCCAGTGCCTTATCCATTAGGCCACTGGGGCTGGATGAAACCTGAACCCGTACAGTTGTCCTTTTAAATTGTAGAATCCTGTGGTGGTTGAAATATATTTTTTATTATTACATTTTAAATCATTTTTCAATCATTTTAAATTTTTCACTCTTGCCTTTACTTTTGCAAACAAAAAAAAGGCGCGATGCAGTTTCATTACCTTGTCAGGCTTCATGAGCAAATACCTTTTCTCAAATTTTTGTCATTGGCGATTTAAAAGTGACGTTAAACTGTTAAATGGATGTACAGTGAATGTATCTGAGAACTTAAACCCAGTTTGATCTCAAATTAACAGGTTTTAAATTTTGATATTTATTTGCGGTACAAAACGAACAATTATTTTAAGTCGGCTGACTTAAAAGTATATGCACTTCAGAGCAAATAAAAATAGTTAAATACAGCTCAAAAACATGTAACATGGCCCCCGTTAATGCATGAAGTTCCATTTATACAGGTAAAGAACGAACGCTGCCCCCCAGTGGTAACGACAACAAACTCACATAACGGTAACGGTTAAACACGGAATTCCTCCTGACCTACAGAACACGGGAGAAAACAAAATAAGTCACGTGACCTACCGACAACATTCACTTTTACACACAATTAAATATTTTACATGTAATTTCAACGTTTAATTTAAAAAGAATAAATAAAGTTGGAATGATACTAAAATCACACCATTAGAGTTAATATTCCGTTCTTCACTTGTGCATACTTATTTTAGATACAGTGTTGATACTCTTCAGTCACATTAGTGTCAGTCACTGTCACCTCCTTCTGGTTATTACGCGTCCAAACTTTCATGTATTAATATGATGAGAGAATAGGAAAGAAAATCTTGAGAGTAACTTGTAGATTTCACGGCACCAATGTGATTCATCTCACTTAATACAGAACATTTGCAGATGAGAAGAGAGGAAAAAAATTACATTTTGAGATAAAAATGAACCATGATCCCAGTGCAGATATAAACTATACTCAGCTAAGGGCTTAAAAGGCACAACTCACATAAGGTTCTTCTTTAAATAATGAAAACAAATGTACTCCAAAGATCATTCCTCGCTGACATTAGTGTTATTTTTGGCCTTCATTTCCACATGAACACGCGCTCATTCATCGTCAATCAGTTTCTCAGCCCCATTCTCTGCTTGTCTGTCTGTGCTCCCTCCTCCTCCCTCCTCTTTGCCTCCTCTTCCATCCCCTCCCTCCTCCTCCTCTTCTTCGTCATCATTATAAGAGAGGGACAAGCTGCCGTAGTTGATCGTGGTGCGGGACAGGTCCACTTCGATGGGAAAGACATCCGCCTCCTTCAGGACTGCGTAGCAGTCGTCGTAGTAATGTGACATACCTGAGACGAAGCGCTGCAGCTGGAACACAATGTCCTGGACTGTGGACGGAGGAGAGAAGATCAAACATCAAACTGTGTTTGACATCCACCTCTGTATATCCTCATCTTCGTTCATGTTAGCCATTCATTTATTATACAACGGAACAACAACAAACCATGTTTCTGATCTAACAACTCGATCTTCTCCAGGACATCCTTCCTCATTTTGGCGAAGCGTGCACGGGCCTCCTGCCTACACCGCAGCACCAAGCGGTACTCGTAGTTACCAGTGCACACACGGTAGAGTGGCTCAGCGATGGCCTGCAGAAAGAGGCGGAATATAAACTACCTGATATAGTACAGTAGCTAGAAAACAGACAAACAACCAGTTCAGCAATAAATATAAATGTCAGTGGGATTGACTTATTCCGTTACCGAACAGGTTTTCAGTCATGGTTGAGCCAATTTGGTCATTTTAATATGCATTATGTTCAGAGAGTTGAAGAACAGGAAGTCATGACTCAACAACACAAAGGATTACTCACGATACTAGTGTATTCCTCATCATCCATTTCCTTCACCTTCAGGCAGTAGGACTGATGGAGAGAACGTGTTTTATTAGTTACTGTTTTCACTGACTGTGTATGAGAGAAGGAAAAGCAAAAAGCTGAGGTTTTACCAAATACTCAAACTTCACATCCAGGTATTTGCGGATAGTGAGCTTTGTGTCCGGTATGGCCTTGTGAAGGTATGTGTTCAGGTCATGGAGCATCTGTACAAGCAGATAAACAGGAATAGGTTTAGTATGATATTAGACAAGTCACAGTTTTTTGGATTAGGATTTTTTGGAATTTGTGGCAGAAAGTGAGACTAGAATATTTTCAGTTTAATACCTGGTATGACTCAACTCAACTCAAGTGTACAGCACTCACAGGTTTTATGGTCTTCAGCAGCTGAATTCCATATTTCTCAATATTGCGATGAGCATCAGCAAACTTCACAAAAGCCTCACTGGCTGCAGCCTGTGGCTCCCGGACTCCAATTACAGCAAAAACATCACCGAATGCTGAAAGGACCGTGAGAAGGAAATACAGACCACAGGAATGAAACAACAAAGGTTTTAGACATTTTAAAAATTCAAGAACATTTTTTTGTCTCACAGACATTCATGTGACTCACCTCTGTGAGTCTGAGAAAGTTCAAAAAATGCTCTGAGCAGCCTTTTTGTGTGTTCCATCAGACCTGCACACGAGCACAGACATAAGTTTCAGATGAAACTACACTGGTGTCAGTTTATTCAGTAACTGTAAACAGTTGAAATGTTTATTGTCCTGCACCTTTGTACAGCTCTGCCGTTTTCTCCAGCTCCTCCAGTCTCTTTACCAGCCCATCTGTGAGGTGAAACATGTTAATTCTGATTCCCTCTGTTCTGTTATTTCACATGAATTTATAATAATCTGTCATTAAAATAACCTCACCGTTGCAGAGAATGGCTCTGCTGAGTCCCAGTGCGTCGGCAGTGCCTGAGCTCATGTTCTCCACCAGTCGGTGCTTGACCTTTTTCAGCACTATCACAAAAACAGTTTGGTTTTTTTCATCACTTAAGAATTCAAAGATGAGTATCACTACAATGGAGGCAAAATAATTTAAATATGTGTACCCGTCTAGTAACGTACATACCTATGTCCAAGGACTTCCCCTGCTTTGGGTCAGCCTGCAGTTTGTTGTAGTGAATTACTGCTTCCCCCTGATACAAACAAACATCACCAACAAACAACATACATTTATATTATAGAAGCTGATCAACATAAATAACCTTCTTAGTTTTCAAATAGCCAAGTATAAATTTATACTCTCTTACATATGGTAAAAACACTAGTACCACGGGTGAATACACATGTGGTATTTGAAGTAAAAGATAACGGAAACATAGTCTAATCTTTATAATCCTGCGCTGAGCCCAGTCTTTGTCTGTCCTGCACAAAGTCATGGATGTTTTTCGAAATGTGAACAATAGTCCAAATAACAACATTGAGTTAGTGAGGTTATGCTGACACGCTTCACCACACTGGGGCGGTGTGTAGGCTACTACTCCATTACTGTTGGAGAGTTCACAGATGAGTACAAGGTCACAGAGGGAATTGGAAAGAAGTGAGTAAAAATGTATTATCTTAAATATTTCTATTTGTATTTGTACTTCTACTTGTTTTAATTAGCAATAAAAGAATCTGTGTGATCTACACCAAATATCTGCAGAGTTTTAATTAGCAATAAAAGAATTTGTGTGATCTACACCAAATATCTGCAGACCTGTAGAAAGAATTAATGTGATCCACTTGACTGTGGCTACATGTTGGTTGTGGTGTTAATATTAGGGGAATGTGATCCCATTACTCTGTATCTACCTGCACAGCTTGGATCATCTTGGCCACTTCCACTTTAGTTTTTCCTTTCACTGTTTTTCCGTTCACACCTGTGATTTCATCGCCTGCTGCCAGTGACCCATCCACAGCTGCTGGGGTGTTATCAAAAACCTGCAACGGAACTTACATCTTAATAAGGTACCAATGACACAGAATGCCACACATTCTGTGACACATAGTCCAAAAATGTAAACGTTGTGATCACTTGTTCTATACTTACTTGGACAATGTAGAGACAGGGACAGTACTGGGCTCCACCCCCGATACTGATGCCAATAAGGTTATTGGCATCTTTCTTCAGACACACAGTACCAGGTACTGTTGGTATCCCACTTTTAAAGAAAACGGATCACATTTTTAGCTTTGCAGCATTTTCCAGCAGTTATAATATTACATCTAGGGATTTTAAGGAATTGAGGATGGTCAAAGTTTGTGAGAAAATGCAATAGAGGTTATAGAAAGAAGGAAAAAAAGAATAACTAAAACTCACAGCTTGTCCTCTTCAAATTCATAGTCCATATCAGAGGACATCGCAGAGCAGTATCAAGGCTCTATCTGCCAAACATAATAGTTCATTTAGGGTAACATCATTTTTATCTGACAACATCTACATTAACATTAACATCATGATGTCTATGTTTAAGCTTCCACAGTGAGAAACGTAGACACAGCAGCTGCAAGAAATACGGCGTCAGTAGGGTACAAGTGCTGGGAAAAAGGCAGGTGATTCTGGCGAATTTTCCTCATTACATCGACTCACTGGAGACAGCCGGTGCAGCAGCACATCAACAAACAGCTGGTAACTAGCAAGTGCTATTCTAAGACGATTACTAAAGACAGACTGGCTATATTGGCTATATATAAATCTTGAGCGTGCAACTATATCATTCACAATGTATTCGGTGTTGTTAAAATAGAATTTACGTCAGTCGTGACAAAGAAAATTGTTTGCTTTTCCTAGCTAATTAGCATTTAGCTTCTTTAAGATACCCGCATATTGACTTAATAACGTCAGCATGTCGTTAACTGGTTACCTTTTCTTTGAAAAATCCCACCAGCCTTTGGAGTAAAATGTACTTATAACGCAGAGGTTAACATTTAATTATAATTTGGTACCAACTGTGGCCGCTGCCCGAATTAAGCGGACAGGTCTTCTGTTTACCTTATTTTGTCACATCCGGTAAGGTAGCGGAAGTTGTTTGACACAAGTCCTTGCACCCAGGGGTGCCGACTACAAACAAATTTGTGTGCAGTTCGATATAAACCTAAATAACTTTTTTTGTGGCTATTTTAAAAAGCAAAGCAAGAGTCATAAAAAATTACTAAACAGAACATGTTGTCAAATGTTTAAATATACGTCCTTTCTCGACATCCAGTGGCTCATTTCAAATGATTAAAACATGTTTTATCTTTAAGGGGCTTTGGGGAAAAAATCATCTCAAGTCATTATTAATAACATTTTCCCCATTCATATGTGGTTCTGTTTATTTTACTATTAAAATATTCTTAACAAATTCACAAAGAGCCCCTTCAAAGTCCCACGCAAACATTCACAACTAATTCAGCATTAAATGCAATCAATTTTTGTTACAATGAGCTCAATACTCAGTTTATCAGTATTATTTGTTGATTGAAGAGCAGATGTGATTGATGCAGATAAACCCTGAGTGACATTGTTCCTGCTAAAGGTGGAGTCTTTGTATCTTTCATGTGATAAATTGCAGTATAAAAAGAGGTATTGTGTTCAGTCCCTCACTTCATTGTTTTGTCTCTAGGCCTGAAGACTGTCTCAGTCAGGACAACCATCCCACGTCTCTTACAGGGCCAAGGACACAAACACCATAAAACAACATGAGCACGGTAAGTCTAAATCAAGCTGCTCTTTTCTCTGTTGTGCATCTACAATATTGTGTATCTACAATATAAATATTTAGCACCTTTAAAATCTGAAACCAGCGTTACAACGGCAGAATTGTGTTTTCTTTTTGAAAACTTTTATAGTTAAACCACACATGTCTTTTTCAGCACTTTGAAGTAAAGAACGTGGCCTTGCGAGCTGGAGACCGACTAAAAATTAAGGGAGAAATTTTACCAAATGCTGACAGGTTTGTTTGTGTTATGACCATAAAAATCAATGTGAGCTTGACATTTGTCTAAGTAAATGCAATATTAATACCGACTTCTATGTTCTTTGTTCTCTAAATAAAATGAAAGAATGTCTGCGTGTTTTTTAAATCCTTGTTATTGAGACAAAATTTCTTGTGTTAATTCAGATTCAACATAGATCTTGGTTACGATGCAGATGATCTGGCGCTGCACTTCAACCCTCGTTTTCATGATGACACTGACGGAGCTGTGCTTGTGTGCAACTCAAGGACTGCTGGATGTTGGGGCAAGGAAAAAAGGGACATTTATAACCCTCTAGAGCAGGGCACACATGTGAAGGTGAGACAATCTACTCCTGGCTACTTCTTGACTACTGTCACAGTTTCTGTGGTAGGAAAATAAAAACAACTTCTTGTTTTTTTTCTTCTTAGATTCAACTAAAGCTGGAAGGAGACACTTTTGAGGTGGAGCTTCCAGACGGATCCACAGTCAACTTCCCCAACCGTGTTGGCATGGATGTCATCAACTACATCAGAGTTGCTGGGGACTTCAAAATTACTTCCTTCAAGATCTGCTAGGAGAAATATTTGTCCTCATTTGTGTTCGGATTGGTGGGAATATTACACTTTGAGGCTTCATAAGTCATAAAGAGAAATTCCAATCATTAAGGGATGTAACTTCAACATAAGGCGTTTGTCTTTATCTAAAAAAAAACTTGTTGTGCAGAAACATTAAATGGTTTAAAATCAAGCAATTTGTCCCTGTGGGTAATAATTTACATGGTGTTCAATCTTAGTATTCTGTGGGTAATATTTAATTTACATGGTGTTCAATCTTAGTATCAATTATGACTAACTAGTCAGGAAAAGTTCTAAAAGAACACCACTGCTGTTGGAAAAGGAAATGTTGAAGTCAGGGAATAGAAAACCAAAGAAATATATAATAGTCAATAAAATAACTTTACTAAATTCTTACACTTTAAAAGTACACTGCCCTCCAGTGGTCACCATAGCAAAGTGTCGCATCATTTCATTTCAATTTATTAACGTTCATTTTTTTTCCCTACGTGTAAAGAAAGATAAACAGCGCAGTATCAGTGGAGATAATAATATTTTGTATGAATAAAAATGTTTTTTCTGAATGTACATTAACTTGTTAATATTGTATTGAATTATTCGCTTACGCCTCGGAGCATCTCTGCAGTAGCTGCGTGAAGACTCCTGCAGTTTGTGGGAAATAAACGTCATATTTTAAAATTAAAGCAAAGCAAAAGCATTGAACACTGAGGTTTAAATCCGCGCAGGCATCGTCGACAGACGAGGGGGGGTTTTTTTGGCAGCGGCTTAATCACGATGTCATCCTCCGAAAATGCTGCGTCACATGAAGGTATGCGCAGTTCATGCAGTGCATTAATACTGCAATACTATTGCATTATTAATCATTGTTTTATGGCATTTGTACCAGATTATTGTACTTCCGGGTTTTTTTTCTTTCTTTCTTTCTACAGCTTGTGAACCATCACCTTCAACGTCAGAGACCGACCCTCTGAGGATCGTTCTTCTGGGGAGGACGGGGACGGGCAGAAGCTCTTCGGGTAACACAATCCTGGGCAGATCCACGTTCTGGGTGGACGTCTCCCCCTCGTCTGTGACCTCACAATGTAAGAGTCAGAGTGGGACAGTACACGGGCGCAGCATCTCAGTGATAGATACACCAGGGTTCTTCCACACAGGACTTGACCCACAGGAGGTCATGGCTGAGGTGGGGCAGTGTGTCGCCCTGTCTTCCCCTGGACCCCATGTCTTTATGTTGACCCTGCAGCCCACCAGGTTCACACAGGAGGAGAGGGACAGCCTGGAGTGGATTAAAGCCATGTTTGGTCCTAATGTGGTCAGATTTACCATGGTGCTTTTCACCTGGGGGGACCAGCTGCAGGGAAAAGACCCCAAGGACTTCCTGCAGGAGAACCAGGAGCTGCTGAAATTTGTCAGGAGCTGCCACGGAGGCTATCACGTGCTGGACAACAGTCCAGGCCAGGATAAGAGTAAGGCGTGCACCGAACAGGTCCTACAGCTACTGCAGAAGGTGGACCAGATGGTGACGGACAATGGTGGCATTTGCTACAGCTGTGAGATGTTCGACGAAGTTAAAACGGTCGTCAGGGAGGCACAGGAGAGGTTTCTGGAGGCAAAAACACTGGGGAAAGGTCAGAAACTGTCTGAAAAGAAAGAAGAGGAAGGAAGAGACGTAGAGAGTCGAAGTCAAAGGGAACAAGTGGAGAAAAGAAAGGAGGAGGAGGAAGCTAGGAAAACAGCAGAGAGGCTTTTCTGGTGTGAGCTGGTGACGGCGATGGGAAAAGGTGCTGCAGAGGGAGCAGGAGTCATGGTGAAGGACAAAGGTAAAGGAAAAGTAGTCAAGAAGGCAAAAGTGGTGGAGAGGGCAGCTGCCCTGGCGGCGTCACCGCTCTCCATCACTTCTGCCGCTAAGATGGTGGGTGGAGCCGTGAGGGAGGGAGGTAAAGTGCTGTACAAGCACCGCAAAACATTTCTACACTGACAGACATCTGACAGCAGACTCCTGGGTCTTTGCCAAATTAATACTTGTTTAAAGATGACGTGGACTGCTGATGAATGAAGGTGTACGTGTTTGTTTGCCCTGGTGGAGCGAAGACAAAGGCAAACATCCTGGTACGCTCAGTATCTCACCTCCAACAAAGAACAACACAACAGCTTTGTCTGGTTTGAAGACACCTTATAATAAAAGTAATGCCACAGAACAGTTGTGCAACTCATGCCCCAGTAAAGAAAATCTTGACACTGGTCAATGTCAGTTTCCCTTTTTTAAAACCACTGAAGTAAATATTAAAAAAAAAGAATCCATAAAATAAAACCGTTCAGGAGTTACTGATTCATCTTTGTTTTTTTTATGACAAATAAAGTTTCAAGCTTGTATTTTTCCCTTTTCTCCCACAATGAAAATATTTAATATACAAAGATATAAAAAGGCAGAGTACCAAAGGTTAACATACTTGGCAAAAAAAAAAAAAAGAATTACAAACTGGAAGTGTGTGTGTTCATATTTAAAATAGTTTATGGTGTGTGTAGTTAAAGGGTTAAAGAAAAAGGCGCTGTGTGAGACACACATGTACAAATACAACTGCATTTCTCATGTTTGTAAACTTTTTTGGAATGACATGGATTGTGGACTCTAGTGTCCAGACACTTTCGGCTCAAACATAGTTAACACTGGACGTACGTGTGGACAGTCAACCTGACTGAGACCTGGACAAAGTGTCAGGCATATGTTTTTAAAAAAAATTCAACACAACCTTTCTGTTTCTGTTGTGCTCTTCCACTGCATCGTTCTGGATCCACTGGTGTTTCTAGTGTCATGTTTGCATCCAAATATAAATGTAAAAAAAAAAAAAAAACAACTACACATCACTTCCTGTTGACCACCACAAACTTATTGCACTCATACTTACAAACTGCCAGTCAGAGAAAAACTTTTTTTTTTTTGACCTGGTCACAGAGATCAGGTCAGGGGTTTAGGTCGAAGCTCAGCGAGAACGTTTGAAGGTCCGTTTTCAGATGTTGTGTCAAAGCAGTGGCTCCAGGACACACAGTGGTTTAAATGGGCATGGGCAGGCTCATCTTCCCTTTTTCTCGAATCACTGCAAACAGACACAAGAGAAGGAGGTTGAACACAAGTGAAGGAACTTTGTTGACGTCAGTTTATCTCATTGATTATTTAACTTGAACGTACAAAGAAAACTTCCTCCTGTTCAGTGAACACAGTTACAGACTACTGTTTAAAGAAGCTGCTCTTTAGCAAGGCAGGTAAATGTTAACACACAACATCAGACGACTAATAGATTAAAGAAGAATACATTTTAGATGGAAAATATACGGTGTATATATACGGTATAGTGATTTTTTTTACCAAAAGTTTTATTTCGGGTGACTTGATGTTGGCTTGGATGCCACCATTTAAAAATAAAATGTTTATTTATTTAAAATATTTAAATAAATATCCACTAATCAAGGGAATTAATCTTTGTAATTACAGTCTTTTTTTTACAAATATTTAAATAGACAAATCATCTCTTTTTTTATTTGTCAAAACCAATGTTTTGGTCTGCTTTGTTTTAAAAAACAAATAATATTTGGAGCCTCAGTGTAGAAACTTATTTTCTCACCTCTTGTGACGTAAAGGTAGAAGAAATCGCAATAGAAAATGGTCTGAACGACTCCGGACACAACCGCGATCTGGTCAACGAAGCCCTCCGTGTTGTAACGCCACACCCAGTTGGCGATGTAGAGCGCTCTGTACAGGCCCAGGAAGAAGAGGTAGTGGGTGGTGATGGTCTCGGCTTCACCGGTTTTGGTGATCATGAAGAGTTGGGGCATGATCGCTACTGCCTCCAAGAAGATGGAGAAGGTCCAGAGGATCTGAACGGAGGAGGGTGTCTTTGGTCACGCTACTTAAAAACATACCACGTGATGCTAATAGAACAACGACTGTGGTGCTACGATGCACTGAATTTGCTGTTCACACTCACCTCCAGTGGGGTAAAAGCATAATTCTCGAGGAAGGACAGTCCAATAACCGGCACCAACAGGAACTCAACACGGAATGTGTCGTTTTCTGAGTCGTTTGTTTCCTTGAAGCGCACGTAGACCAGGTACACGGTGGCGTAAGACATGACCAGGAAGACCACCTGAGACCAGACACATATGTTCAGCTGTGGTTCTTAAACACTGGTGACAGAACAGTGAACCACTGGTGGTGAAACACGTGGCTCGTGGTGAGGTTTTTGACGCCTTGTTTGCTGTTGATCTTTGCTGTATCACAATGTGTGTGCAATAACAATAAAGAGCTTTTTAAAGTGCAATTTTGTAAACAAACATTGTGTTAAATTTAAAAATGAAAAGTTGTTTTGTTGTTGTTGTTGTTTTGGATTTTTTTTTTAAATCATACCTGTTTAAGAAGATTCCTGGTTGAAACAGTGACTTTATTAGTAGGTTGAATCCTCACTCAAACCATAGCCACGCCCCTTAGCTACTATTTGAGGAGCTAAGTCGTCAAATATGTGATTTATACGTCGAAATAAATGTAAATAAATCTGTGTTACAACATTTTTAGAGGTGTACAGCCCTACAAGAGGTCGTGTGCTCACTACTAAAACCCGCGTGTAAGTGTAAGTCTCACCTTCATTATTGTGTTGTAAGCAGAAATGTAGACCGTAAATAAGTCCAGGTACCGTGTGGTAAAGACAAGTGCGAACAGAATCTGAGATTTCCCAGAGATACCTAAAAATGGAGAGAATCAGATGACAATCTGTTGACATTTGTTTATTTTTTATATAATATCACACAAAGAAAAGGTGTTCAAATATCTTTACTGCCCTAAAGCAACGATTATCAGTTGAGGCTCGATTAAAGGGTTCTGTTGACATGAGTTTGTTTTTTAATATAATATCACACACGAAGAAAAGGTGTTCAAACATCTATACTGCCCTAAAGCAATGATTATCAGTTGAGGCTCGATTAAAGGTTTTTTTTAGCTGAAGAGGCAGATTGGTCAACATCGCCACGTCGCTTTTTCTACTACACAACAACTCGACATGAAACAAACACATATGACTGGAGGAAGAAAAAAAAAAACACTGCAAAAACTACAATTTGCACCGAACTGATTCATATTTACCTGAAGGAAAAGTTTCTCAGTCGCATCAGTTTTAACTGCTGAGTGAACTGCTTACCTGCACAGGACCGGGTCTTCCATATCTTCAGCAAAAGAATAATAATCGCCATCAAATGCGACACGTCGCCCGCCAGACGAAAGATGTTCATTTTTTATTATTGTTGTGTTTCAACAACAGAAGTTAAAATTATACTTTACACAACTCCTCAGGTCTGCAGGGAAGACAGCCTAGACTGGAGCAACAAACCCAAGTTTTAACACAATTAATAAAATATATTTAAAAAAACAAGACGTAAACAAAACAAAAAAACGTCTAATAAGTGCAGTAGCTTAAATAATAATAAATGTTTACAGATAAAGACACAGACACAGAGAAACCGCCTCTGGGAAAAAGTTTTTCGGAGGAGGTGACGTGGCTGACAGCTCACACTGCAGGAACCAACGCGAGCCAAACCGGACCTAACAAACACGAGCGTTTCCGGTACTTTCAAAGTAAAATGTAAAACGCCTAAAATTTAAGACAACTTCAGAAATAAACTTAACTTTACGCATAAAAATCTATTTTTCATGAATTTCATGAAATAAAGTACAAAAGACAGGTTGCTAATATGTGCTACATTTTGTTGGCATGTTAAAATATTTTATTTACTTTTATTTTCAATACTAAACTGTTTTATGACTTTCTCTGGTTAACTTGACCCTTTACTACGGCTGGCTGGATTAATTCAAACTTCCAAGGGAAATTTAAAAAAAGTATAACACACCTGTGTAAAATGTAATTTTTGTCATTGTATTTGAATTCTGTATTTAAAACGCCGCCCATGATCTGCACTTTATCAGTAATTATAGTCATTCTTAGGTATTATAATTAATATTTTACATATGTGTAATGATCAAGAAGTTATCATAACTGTGAGTCATATTGTGTGAAACAGATACTGTACATTGAACTTTCACTTTCACTAAACAATAAAATGATTAAATAACCGCACCAGTTACAGAGATATGGTTTTGAACGGGGCTTTATTTGTTATCTTTGTGAATAATTACATACAAGATTGAAGTTGAAGACAGATAAGCAAATGAAAAATGGTAAATATAAAGTGGCAACATTTTCGTGCGTATTCATAAAAAGCCACTAGATGTCACTGCAGATTCTTTTCCAAAAGACGTGACATATAAAACATTTAAACGTTTGCTCATTTTTGTTTTACATAAAACATAGCAAACAAGACAAAATAAAAAAGGAAAATGTCAGGTCACATAACAACAGTGGAATTAAAACATTTTTCATTTGAAACTACATGGTAGTGTAAACTACTTAATAATTTCTGCACCTTTCTGCATGTCCAAATGTATTTCGCAGTAAAAAAAAAAACACGGTGTCAACGACAGAGGTAGGTTTTTAACAAATCAGTTAGCTCCTTATTTGATGTTCTTGTAACTGTTAGCTCTCCGTTTTAATCTAAATGCATGCCTGTCGCTCTGTCTGACCCTGAGGACATTCGTTTTAATCTAAATGCATGCCTGTCTATTTCTGTCGCTCTGTCTGACCCTGAGGACACTTTGGACCTGGGAACCTCAGAGGGGAGTCTTTTCTGTCTCCTCATAAAAGGGCAAAAAAGGGGAAAGATTTGGGAGGGAAGGGTCGAGCTGGTCAGTCACTGCAGGCCTCCAGGCTATCATCTTTTCATTAGCCAGTCAGCGACTGAATGGAGGAGTGACAGGGATGGAAATGTAAAATGGTAAAAAGTCGTTCGGGGCCACATTAGCTACAGGCAGATTCGGGAACTTTCACTACTTTTGTGCATTGTCTCCAAAGTGAACAACCACACTCAACAGTGACCCTTTGTGTGGGACATTTAACTGCCTGTTAGCATGCTAATTATGGCGTGTGTGTGTGTGTGTGTATAATTATCCCGCCCACTTCCATCCCTCATCTCTCCCCTGTGATTGATTATTCTCTTGTGCCTCTACTTCATTTCCTCCAAATAAAGATATTCTATGTTAAACACTTTGGCACAAAGAAGGGGCCTGCCCCCCACTTTGGGAACCGCTGCTCTAGAGAATTATATAAATATATATAAAAACATTTGAATTCAATTAGTCTACTTACCATAGTTGTATTAATTTGGTCAGAGACCTTAGGGTCCGTCCTGAATTTTTGAGTTTTTTTCAGATAGGCTTCTTTATATTTTCATCTCCTCTTCTTCATCTAAACATATATAAAACACACAAAGCCCTGACCAATAGTATAACTTGAAGTCTCTTCTCACAGTCAGCGCAGGATAAATACCTTGGATTTATCCACAAACCCTAATTTCAGACATACCCCTCTTTCATCAGAGCCTCTCATCCTCCAAACTCTTCAGCCAACTTTGAGCCTGAGCTTCCTTTCCACCTGCCTGCCCGTGGCCGGATTACTGGTGTACAGTTACAGGGTCCAAAAATGTTTGTAGGTGGATGGAGCCAGTCCAGGGCGACGCCAATGAAGATGGAAACCTGCTTGTTTATTACATGTGATACCATAGAAGAAGGAGAGGAGAGTGAATTATTTGTCATTGTGACACAGCACACCACTGCACACAACCAAATGTGACCTCTGCTTTTTACACATCACCAAATTGTTTGTTGGTTAACATTTCTGTGTATTTTAGCAGCTGTGTTTATTTGTGTGGGTGAGAGAAGGCGAGATAGAACGGGAGGAAGGGAGAGAGGGAGAGAAAAGAGGAGGAGGAGGAGGAGGTGGTGGTGGGGAGGTGTGGAGGAAGAGAGGGAGAGCAGCTGTGAGCCCAGTGTTTGAACCCTCACTCACATGGGCATGGTGAGGCAGGGCTGCAGGGCAGGCGGTGAGGAGAAGGGACTGATGCCTGACGAACTCTCCATCTCCCTCTCCTCTTTCATCTCCCTCTCCCAGAATCCAACAACAAACTCTTTCATTCGGGCATCTTTTCGGCCAGCCCCCACACCCTCCAGGCCTCCACCCATTCACGCCGCTTAATTTAATGTTCCGAGAAAAACTCATGATTGGGAAGTGACTTTTTGTCCTCCGCATTTTCCATATCTGCTGCTCTGGAATTCATTTCTTGATCATCATCTCGTATTTTTCCACCAACTTCAAAAATTATTCTACAGTTCTGTGCAGTAACATCGTGGTGATGTTGGGGAGACACAGAACACTGCAGTACAGGACAGGATGTGATCCAGTCTGTACTCAATACTCATAGGTAACAATGGGCCTCAGCGTTTATCTGGAGGGAAATAATATGGACCTCAGTTATTGAGGACACAAAACTTTCTTTTTTTTAAATTTTATTCTGGTGCTTTTAAATGAGAGTTGTAGGAGCAACAGCGTGAACATGAATTTAAATATCAATTTAATATATTTATTTCATATTTTTTATAGTTGACAGCAGGAGATTGTTTTTTCTGAAGAGGCTTAATGTAAATATGAGGATCATTTGAGAATCAATTAAAAAAAATTCAACAATAAACTTTCCAAGTTTCCTCTATTTTTCCTGCTCACAGACCTAACGACTAAATCTGGTGATAAATAAAAATGTTGTTTTGCAGCCAGAGGGGGAAAAAACCCTCTGAGGTTGTAGCTCCTCTGGAACTTAACATTTCACAGAGTCACATCACTGCTGTCTGATGATGTTCAACACAACAACCGGCCCGACTCGGAGCTAGAGCATCCCAACAAAGGACGCCATTGTTGCCGGGTTAAATTCTTGAACATCATTTTTGTCATTTTCCTCCAAATGATTCGATCTCCGCCTCCCTCGCCTCCCGGTCCTCCCAATTATCTTTTTTCAGGCGTGTTTTTTTGTCCTTCAGTGACGGGATGTTTGGGGATTTCCAAAGTCTTGCCATGAAATCTGCTCATATATTTAGAAAGAGGATTTAAGGCCACAAATACACACACATATAAATGATCACGTTCAAACTGAATGGTGGACGGGGGAGAGCTCTTAAAGCAAACGGGGGGCAACAGAGGACAGTTGTAAAGGAGACAAGGCTCCATTGAAGGGAGTGATTCTCTGACTTCTCCATCGCTGTCCTCCCTTCACCCCCAACCCCTCCCCCCCCTCCACACCCCTTCCTTTCACAGCTGCAGCAGAGCAATTAAAGACCTCGGCTCCACAGGGCGATCATTAAATCTACGGCGTATATTTCAAAGTCATCAGAGTCTCATCAATAATTGTAACAATGTTGAATTGAAAGTCTGTGATTTAACAGACAGAGCGTCGGTGTCAAAGTGAGATAATCATGAGAGGCAGATCCACCAGAGTGACGTCAGAACTGTTTTTACATTTAAAGAGTAGAGTAATATAATAAATGTGAACGTCTAATTTAGCAGAATTACAACAAAGGGAAGTGTAACGGCAAACAGAATCACTGACTGAAAATTCTACTGGATGCAAATTGTCTCTTATCAAAAATCTACAGTCAGTGTTTGGCGTTCGATTATAAACACATGTAAACAAGTAGTTTTGAGTACTATAAATACTGTCTCTCATTTTTTAATTATCTACGAAAGCCTTTCAATGAACAAACAAATAAAACGAAGCAAATACAAATAATAAATGATGATATTATTGACATCTAGCTGTGGGCTGTACGTGGCTAGGCCGCCCCCCCCAGGAGGGAAGTTAAAGTAACAGTACGTAAGAAGGTGCATTTAAGATGAAAACATTCTATTCTACCATATTTCCTGGATCAAAAACATGTTGTAGTCACAGACTTACAGTAAATAAACAACCACAGAAATAAGTTATGACTGAGGTGAGTTCTCAAAAACAAGTGGATGAATTACTGAATACCAGCAAAGATCAGCCACTGGTAACTCAACACGTTCTGTCTCACCCCCTCACCCCTGATACAACCACCAGCAGCAGCAGTGAGCAGCAGTGAGCAGGACCCTTCCACATTAACCCCCTCCCCTCACCCTCACCCCCTCTCTCCTATATATCAGTTTCCTTTAGACCCCCCCCTCCCTGCTCCCCCCCTTACACAATTGAAGTAACTAGATTCTTCCCTTTGGCTGGCAAGTGGAGATATAGGGTTCAACACACAAAGAGCCATTCACTCATATGACCCCCCCTCCTCACCCATCCTCACCCCCACACTTGCACATACACGTCCTGAAGCAGTTGTTCTAGTTTTCCCTCTTTTTTTGCAGTGTATCTTTTCATGAAATTATAAATTATGTTTTGCTATTTCTCCAAAACAAAACAAAAAAAAATCATATTTTTATGCAGCTTCTATGGCAAATGTGCTGCTCAGTGTGTGTGATATACACACTTTAAACACACACGTCACCAAACACTGGCTGTATTCTCTTCAGTTGTATTTTACATCTTCACTGAATCCATGTTGCATCGCACTTGTAATGATATGGTGAGCATGTTTAGAAAAGGGCTCATTCCCAAAATGCAGTGCGGTTCAGTCACACACTTCAGGAATCCCTGCTTCACATTACAGCCATAACACATGACAACAAGTGTTTTTTTTTACTTGTTTTATCCATAATGACAGTCATTTTAAACTTCTAACAACATGAGGGAAACCTAATTAAACACTTTGGCATTCATTACAAAAATATGCGTCCACCCTTTTAAGTTCCCTTTTGCTTTTTCATAGCAGAGCATCTGATGTTTTCATAAGAGGCAACTCTGCTGCTTTACTTTAACTTTCACTTTAATTTTCCAATTTAAATTGTCTCAAGCTGAGAATCTCTAACTCAAGAGCCACTTATATATTTTTTCTTTAAGTGTGAGACAAGGATAGTCACATTCTTATAAGGTGAAAGACTGCAATAACAGCCCACCTTACTGGATCCTCCAGCGGGCCTGACTGATTCACTTGACTGATCAAATACCGTCACACCTGCTCCCTGCTGCACAGGTGCATGCAGGGAAACAAAGAAGGAATGAAAAGACAGAGAGAGAGTGGGAGGGAGAGACGGAGAAAGAGAGAGAGAGAGAGAGAGAGTCAGTTCAAGGGAGACCAGATTTTCCAACATGGATGTTTCATTCACCTCACGCTTCTTACATTAATAATATAAACACTAAAGCTGGTGGACAATCAGACAACTGAAGTTGCTACTTTATATGAACATCTTTTTATAACATTCTTAAAATTTAACACATAAAAGCTGATAGACTGTTAACCACTCTAGTTATGTATTCTTGCTTCGTTTTCTGTTTATGTTTAATTTTAACTTCTACCTTGTCTCTCTGATCTGTTTGTGCTTCTTTATCGTCTGTATCTTTTTTTTTTTTCTCGAGGACTTCCTTCATGTTTGATGGTTTGAACCGTGCGTTATTACAAATGACATGGAAAATTTAAATGCGTATTTCACTGAGTAGTACATCCTGTTCGACCATTGACCACTGCATGACATTTGCATTGGCCTACCTCGGGCTGCGACCTCTGACCTATACTTTCTACTGGGTCACTGTAAACTTAGACTATTTTTTCCACTTTTTTTTGTTGTGTTCACACTTGACGTCACCACAGTCGTGATATTGTTAGGCTGTTGGGACTCATCGGCCCCCCTGAAGCTCGCCGCAACC